TACATATTGCCATACCAGTGTTTATTGTATTCTGCTGTCCTTCCTATCCTCTACTATCCCCCCTCGCCTTCCCTCCCCTCCTATCTTCTCTCTCTACCCCATCTACTGTAATTCATTTCTCTCTTGTTTTTTTCCTCTTTCCCCTCACTTCCTCTTATATGTTATTTTGTATAACAACGAGGGTCTCCTTCCTTTACCATGTAATTTCCCTTCTCTCTCTCTTTCCCTCTCCCCTCCTGACCCTGTTTAATGGTGATCTTCTTCTCATGCTCTTCTTCCCTATTCTATTCTTAGTTGCTCTCCTTATATCAAAGATGACATTTGGCATTTGTTTTTTAGGGATTGGCTAGCTTTACTTAGCATAATCTGCTCTAGTTCCATCCATTTCCCTGCAAATTATAAATACACATATATGTAATGTGTGTATGTACTCAACCATATTCCAAAATTTAAAACAGGTAGCACCATCATCTACCCTATCTTTGTGCTGCAGCACTACTGGTTTATTCTTTAGTTCTAGGCCCAGTTATCTCATATATTTATTGTGAATATTAACCTTGGTGTGCACAGGTCCCTTGACACTCTTAAATTATTTGCTGAGCTGTTATACTTTATAGTTTATGGGATATTGGAGTAGGGAAGGACTTGGAGGTGACCTAGATCTACCCCTTGTACTTAATCAAGTGGAACTCGAGAAATTAGTCTGGCTCACTCAGACTCTTTTTCTTTCAGACTACTGCCATTGGGGCAGAATTGATCAGTGAGGTGCACTTACACTATTCAGCTCATCATATGTTCTAAGTGAGATGAACTAGAGGAATGGGAAGTGGCTTGTTGCTAGATGTAGAAGCACCCTTCCTAGTGGGCACTTAGTAATGATATCTTGATGGCAATATTCTTATGTCTTGGTTCCAATAAGTTGCTGCAAATACTACTAAAACTTAACATAGGCCAATACACAGCATAACATATCTCTCAAGGTCCTCTCAAGGGAGACAGGATGACATGGAGATTGGCTTTGATCTAGCCATCCCTCTTTGGGAATTATCCTGCAGAAATAATAGCATGCACATGCACACATGTTTATTAAAGCATTACTTGTGGCAGAAACATTCCACAATACCAATTTGAAAATACCATGTTCATCAACATAGGACTTGTTGACTAAAAACCTGGGTATATCTGCTGTGGTATGTTATGCAGAAGGCTAAAACTAGGTCTATATCTGTTAGTTTAAGTATAGTCATGTGCTACATAATCAAGGAAAACTAATAAAGTTAAATAATAGTATCTGAAGAATAATATATAGGACAAATTCCTTAATTTCTTTTACTGTAATTGACCCTTCATATGAAGATGATAATAATGTCTGCTCTTCTTTTCTCCAAGGGTCTAAATTGAAAGACATGTTTGGAATGCTTTGTTATCTGAAAATGCTATACAGATGAAGACATATTTTTAACTAGGAATGTGTCCATTTGTAAGTTTAAAGTTAAACTCCAAAAGAAGGGTACTACAGTGATTTAGAAAACAAAGAACAGTTAAAGCATGCTGTGTTATGGAATCATCAAAACTAGATCCTATTCTGGCTCTGACACTTCTCTGTTAGCCACCTTAAATACCCTTATGGCAACTTAAATACCCTAAAAACAACTGATAAAATCTATTTCCCTTTAATATTGTAAGGGTAAATACAATAGTATGTTAGTATTTTTAACCCTATAATGTCCCTTTTAATAACAAATACATTGAAATACTCCATTTCTTATCTTGAAATGAAACTCATAGCTCTCTAATGGTAACCCAGTATCTAGGCTTCTCTTCTTCTTGTTAGCAACAGAATCTTTCCCTCAAGCTGGCCCACTGGAAGCTCTATTCTCCTTCTTCCCCTTGCTATTGAATATGACCATATATTTCTAAATGTAGGCCAATAGGAAGTGAGTAAAGTGACATGTGCAGCATCAAGTTCATGTTTTCTTCATCAGCTAATTGTTTGTACTTCTCTTCCAGTTTATTTTTCTTCCATGAGTAAGAATGTAAATGTGATGTGACAGTATATTCAACCTTTGACCATATAAAACCACACCTTAGGAAACTTGCCAGTCTGAATGGTTTTATAGGGCAAGGTCTCCTCTCAAAGTGGACCAGCAGCCTATCTTTAGTCAGGTACATGATAAAGAAATAAACTTTTATTTTGCATGACTCACTGTAAATTGGAGTTTCCTTATTGCAGAATTATAGATTATAGTCTGTACCCTACTTAATATAGTTGGTGACATAAACTATTTCAAAAAATTATAATTAATTTAAAAGTAACATACTTATGATGAACTATATTTCCATATGTATATGCTTTAGAACAACTATATTTGAAGACATAAGCAATAAGAAATACTAGTTATCCCTATCATTAATAAGTTTGTATATAGCCATTCTGTGTAAGATCTATAGAAAAATGTACTAACAGAAGTAATCATAGCTATAAGAATAGAAACCACTATTAAGTAATAGCAGATTAAATATTTGTATATGACAGAGGAGAAAAGAAAGTAGTATTAATGGAATAGAAATAGCTTCCAAAATAAATTGCATATTATCCAACTATCAAAATAAGAAAATGTGATAATCTCCCAAATGAACTGAGCAACAGAATTCCTTATGGGGAAAATAATTTTCTGGACTATGACATGGGATGACCTACTAACAAAATATCACAGAAAATAAATATTTTTTGAAAATTCTACAACATGTAAGGGCACACATTATCTCCAGTACTTGAAATAACTTGACCATAACTTTCAAAGGGGAGGGAAGAATATCTTAATGATAATTTGGAACAAGAAGATATAACAAAAGAATTGTAAGGTAGATCTTTGTGGATAATATCAAAGTAAGAGTGAAAAACAACAGGCTATCCAAAAACAATCTTAGTGTATAGTTTTTATACCATATATTTCTTATCATTATGCTAAAGCAGTTAGAAGAGTTATAAAGCCTAGCAATACTATATTTCCAAATATTTATCTTTTCAGATTCAATGAAATCAATGTATTTTATCCATTCTGTCAACTTACTAATAATATTTGTTTTTAGAATATTAAAAAGCATCTTGCATTTGTAAATGCTTTCCATGGTTTCTCAGTAACTGCATTCCTGTCTTTTAAAGCTAAATATATATTCAGAAATGATACAATATGTTGAGTAGAAATTAAGTCATTATTCAGTAAGTTCAAGAGCAACAAGTTTATTTCATATCAGCTTCCCTCTCCATAAAAAGTCTTCTGAAAAACTCCTTGAATTTTTGCTTAACATATCCTGTTTCAGTATTATTTTGTATTAAATCACTATATTATTTTGTAGTTGGTTTAGTACAGCTGAACATTCAAAAGAAACTTCAAATGTTGTATAGTTGTTACACAGTTCTCTTCTGTTGCATTTTAGTTTATTTAGTGTCCCTAGCCCTTGCCCAATAAAATTCCTTGCATTCCCTGTATTTCCTAAAATTACAATAACCCAAAGCATTGCTACAAATTTCTGAAATGTCTCATAGGCAGTATCTCTTAAACTACCAGTGTAAAGAACCAGTTTTCAACCTTGTCTGAGATCTATACTTTTACAAAATGAAAATGTTTATTTTATAAAATGAAAGTGAGTTTCTGGGGAAAATGTAAAATAAAAACAATGATATATAAATATTACCTCCATTTTATTATTAGATTCGATAGACAAAAATTAATCGGACAAGTTACAAAATAAATCCCTAAATGTCTCACTTTCTGTACTTAACTGCATACCACACTTTGAATGACACTTTCCTAGGAACAGTAGTGTACTTTTTGAGAATAATTGGTAAAAATAAAGCAATATAAAAAAATATTTTAAGAAGTTTGTTGTTACAATCATTATATTTTTTATGCTAAATATCCTTTAGCAGATATTGAAATAAATAGTTCTATCCATGGTAACACTGCAACACTACCTCACTACCTCTGCCAAATCTCCAGATATACATAAAAGTTTTATTCTCTCTTTTTTTCATAAAGAGTAATTGTGTCTTTTGTGAGAATGAATTCTTTCCTGTAAAGGAGTATCAACATTATTTAGCCAGTTAAATGTCCAGATTCCTTTTACAAACCAAAAAGCAAAATAATAATAAGATATGATTTCTAAAAGGACTACTAAAAAGTATTATCATACTATAAAAAGGATATTCATCCCATTGCCCAGGCATCTCTAAATTCATGCCTAATAATCTTCTCTGTTACTTCATGTTACATTTGACCATCCCTGGGTCTGTCATGCCTGAATCCCACCACTCAACATAGTGTCCAGCACAATTCCTTTTCTTGTGATTCTAATATACGTTCAGAAGAATTAGTTTAAGGCATCAACTCCTTTTTTCCCCTCAGAAGTGTCCTGTAAGAGCATGGTCACTGGAGAAGAATGTCAAGGTTTATGCTATCCCAATCATATTTTTGAAAGTGGAATTAGACATTTTTTTAATGTTTAGAAAAATATGTTAAATTTTAAAAAACTCTTTAAAAATTCCATCAATTTTATAACTTTTCATTAAAAAGTTTTTGTGTTCTAAAGATTTGTTCAAATACCTAATGTTCTGCTCCAGTTACATTTAAAGTAAAATCCATATTAAGATGATAACTTTAATTTCCCCATGAGATTCCTTGCACACCTTATAGTAACATGATAAGCAAGAAAAAATATTTTAGTTTATATAAGTATGTATACAAAATGTAATTTAAACAAAAGTAATTGTTTACTTGTTTACTTATAAGTCTAATTTCTAATTCTTTAATGCTAATATAAGCAACCACAAATATTAATTTAATAGTGTCAGCCTAAGAAAAATATATACTCAATAAATATTTACAAGAAAAAATAGAATATATAATTATTTTTAAATCATTTAATATTTTTTAAATAGTATTAGTCAAACAGAATTTAAAGCTTATTTATTTTATACTAATAAAACATGATCTTACCCTTTTCTTGGCCACCACAGAAACTTTGGCATCTGCTTTGGATTTATCTGTAAGATAATAAAACGTGGCTGCTTCAAAAAAGTACCTATGCTCCTGTTCTGATAAACACAGTGTTACACAGAATTTTCTACTTTCTAATACTGTAACAACAATACTTTGTTTTCAGTCCTTTAAACTAAAATGCTAATAAATTCGCTAAGTAACTCACGTGTAATAATACTAGATATTCATACACTTATTTGAAAAACCCTCTCCCTTTAATTTTATTGGTTAATTGGACTTCCTCATATTAGCATTAAGTATAGCTGATTTCTGAGTTCTGGTCTGCCTCTGTGCAGTATATAGGATATATAGGATCTAGAATTAAATCCCAGCTACCTCCACTTATAGATCTACTATATGCTGGACATGGGGTAAGAACTTCATATAAATGGTACTTTATGTAATCCACATGAGAACGTTGTAAGGCATGTAGTCATCCTTACTTTACATCTAAGGGAACTGATCAGTTTGATGTGAAGCTACATTAAATAATCTGCCTAAGGTATTGCAGATGGACCAGACCTATTCTGACTACAAACCCCTAGTCATCCCAGGATGTCTGCTGCCTTCATTTGGGGGCCAAAGAGGTGCCAATAGTGCCTCAGAAAAGAGTCAAAAACAATGGGGAGTATGGAGTCTGTGCGGGACACCCACCCACCAGAACCTAGACTCTGTGTAAGGACTGCCCCTTCTACCAGCAGACTATAGCGGGGGGTCAAGCCCAGTGGCCCAGATCTACCCACACTGGACTGTGTGGGACTCAGGCTTACAATAGGCCTGGTCCATCCCTCAAAGTGAGGCAGACACCAGCCAGAGCCCAGGCTCTGGCACAGGACTGCCCCTTCCGACCAGCAGACTACCAGAAGAGTTCAAGCCCAGAGGTCCAGATCCACTCAGGCCAACTTGTTCATGACCCAGGTCCAGGATGCAGTAGCATACATTGAGGGACACCAGCAGGGTCTGGAAGCTCAACATCAAGGTGAGGTAAAGACAGTCTGCATGGGTACTGCAAAAATATAGGGAAGAAACTGTAATATCTAGATCCACCCTGCAAGAAAGGAAGACACATGGACCAGACAACATGAAAAAACAAGGGAGGAAAGTGCCCCAAACAAACAGAACACTATAATAACAGAACCCATGGACAGCAAAGTTGACGAAATGTCAGAGAAGGAGTTCAGAAGGTTCATAATTAAAGATTTGTGAATTAAAAAATGACCTAAATGAGCAAATACAGGCAAAAATTGATCACTCCAACAATGAGATAAGAGAGCAAATACAGG